GGGGTGGGGAAAAATACTGGTTCCGTGAAGATTCCCCCTTTCTCCCTCAGGGGCATGCGCATTCAGCTCTCACCTTTATATTCTGGTAAGTTATTTTGCTCTCACTGTTTAACGAAGTAAATAAATAAATAAACAAATAAATAAAATTAAAAAATCCTTGCATACCTTGTTTGCTTGGAGAATTTTAATGTTTTCACTTATCATTGTAAAACCAAGGACAATTTTATAACTTTTTTGTACGTAGCTGTTATGCGTGGGGCAATCTGTTTTTAGGTAGGGGTCAATGACTCTAAACGAAATGAATCCCAGGTAGTGTTCCCTTCCAGTCAAGCGTCCTGTTGTTTACATAAACTTCTTGTTTAAGAAAAAAGATAAGAAAGATGAACAGTAAAACAGCAATAAACACCTATCTACCAACAATTGACTCTGAAAAACAAAAGGAGTGAACAAGCGGAACAGAAACAGACTCACAGACGCAGAGGACATTTGGACAGTTGCCAGGGGGGAGGGGGCCCAGGGGAGGGGGGCAAAGGTGACGGGATTCAGAAGCACAGCTTGGTGGCCACAGGCCGGTCACGGGGTTCCAGAGAGAGGACGAGACTTCGGTTCTTTTCTTCTGGAAAGAAAGGTTTCAGTCAAGACAAAATGCGATGAAGCAAGTGAGAGTTCCCTGGCCGCAGCCAGAGCACCCTGAGACGGGTGTTTATTCACGCTGGGGACAGCGACACAGGGGAGGGCTCAGCACAGAAGAAGCAACCGGAGAGGCCGGGTGGGCTGCCTCAGCACCCCGGGAAGCCAGGGAAAAGGAGGCCCTGGAGACAGGTTCGGGGGGTCAGCCCTAGATGAGCCATGGCTGCCCGCTGCTCCCCTGGTTGCAAATCTCCTGGGGACCCTTAGAGTTTAGGAGGTGTGTGCCCATGGGGGGAGAAGAGGGGTAAGGGGAGAGGCATGGACAGGCTCCCAGGAGGAGGAGCAGGTGCTGGACCCTTCGTCCTGAGGTTATCTCTTCCTCGCAGGCAGGAATGTTAGGGGAGGATCTCAGTAGAACGTTCGCTGCCGTTCCAGGTGTGCTCTTCCAGGGTCGTGGTCTCCGCTGATTGGTTGGTGGCAGGGCAGGGGGTCGTTAGTCACTGCAGCTGGTCCCGAGGCAGCCAGGGTGTCGCTTGCCTGGTTTTGCTGCTTTTCTGGGCCTGGGGGTGAAACTCAGCTGAGGCCTCCATGCTGTTTCTAGGGAGGAGGGGTCAGAAGGAGATCTAAACCCCGTGACCAGTGATATGAAAGGTCAGAAGGTCCAAACCGCAGGCCCAGCGATACGCTAAGGGCAGAAAGGTCACCCTGGGGGCCAGGCCCTCGTTCTCCCAGCTTTGCCTCTCGCCAGGCACCCCAGGCGTTCCGCCGAGAGGACCTTCTGCACCCGACCCACCGCCCTCGCTCTGCCCGTGCCCATCTCGCTGCCCCCAGCACTGAGTCGTAAGGAACAGCACAGGGAACACAGTTAAAGACATTCTAATAACTTCGTGTGGTGTCAGACGGGCGTGAGATTTATCAGGATGGCCACTCAGTAAGTTCTGTAACGCCTAATCACTGGGGTGTCCGCCTGAAACTCATACAGTATCGCATGTCAACTGTTATTGAAAAATTTACAAATGAAAATATAGCCAGAGACAGTAAAATAAAGAACAAACGGACAGTAACCAGAGGGGAGGTGGGGGGCGGATAATGGAGGGAGGAAAGGGAAGAAGGGTGGTCACGGAACACGTACAAAGGACCCACGGACAAAGCCGAGGGGGGGGTAGGATCGAGGGTGGGGGGAGGGGGGGGGGGGGCGGGCGGGAGTGGTGGAGGGAAAATAGAGACCACTGTACTTGAACAACAATTTTAAAAAAAGAAAAGAAAAATTTAGAAATGATTTTTTTAATAAATAAATAAAAAGTTGATCAAGAAAAAAAACGGCAAAGCTTGTTCTCTGGCACATTTGAGATATTGCCGCCTGGCGTGTGTCCTCGGTTTGGCTCAATTACCCTCTCACCAAAAAAGTAATAACAATTCTCTTCCGTCCACTTTAAAAAAAATAACAAATTAACTATTTAGAATACATATTCTAAACATTCCGTGCTCATGGGTTGAAAGAATTAATATGGTTATAACCATCCATCCTGTCCAAAACGATCTACAGGTGCACTTCAATCCCTGTCAAAATTCCAATGACGCTTCTCATGGAAATGAAATAAAAACAATCATAAAATCTGAGCGGAACCGCAAAAACCCTAAATAGCCAAAGCGATCTTAAGAAAGGAGAACAAAGCCGGAGGCGTTGTTTGCCCACCTTTCAGACCACGTCACAAAGCCGCGGGAGTTAAAGCAGTGTGGTGCCAGCACAAAACCAGACACAGGTCAGTGGGGCGCGACAGGGGGCCCAGAAATGAGCGGACGCGTAAGTGGTCGATTTATGACAAAGGACCAGGAGCGCCCAATGGGGGGAGGAAAGCCTCTTCAGTGAATGGTGGTGGGAGAACTGGACAGCCACGCACAAAAGAATGAAACGAGACCCTGGTCTCCCACGACGCACAAAAATCAACTCCAGACGGATGCCACACTTCCATGCAAGACCTGAAACCATGACACTCCTAGAAGGAAACACGGTCTTAGCAATGCCATTGGTGGACGTGACACTGAAAGCAAAATCGAGAAAAGCGAAAATAAATAAAGGGGGACGACATCAAACTAAAACACTGCACAGCAAAGGAAACCCACAGCACGAGAAGACAGCCTACTCAGTGAGAGATCGTACTCACAAGTGATTTCCCTGATGAGAGGCTAACTTTCAAAAGCACACAGAACTCAGCAACACAAACAAAAACTCCGATTTTAAAAAATAGGCAGAAAATGCAAATAGATGTTTTTCCAAAGAACACATACAGATAGCCAACAGGAATATAAAAAAGTTCTCAACATCCCTCATCATCAGAGAAATGCAGATCAAAACCACGGTGAGGTACCGCCTTACCCTAGTAGGAACAGCTGTTACCAAAAGGTTAGGAAATCAGGGTTGGCAAGGGTGGGGGGGAGAAGGGAACCCTTGTGTACTGTTGCCCGGAATATATATACATTGGGGCAGCCACTGTGGAAAATGGAATGGGAATTCCTCAAAAACTTGAAAATAGAATTACCATATGGTCCAACAATTCCACTTTTGGGTATCTATCCAAAGAAAATAAAAACACAAACTAGAAAAGGCATCTGCGCCCCCACGTTCACTGCAGCCGAGAGATGGACACGATGTAAGTGTCCAGAGATGGATGACTGGACGAGGACATTGTTTTGTGTACACACACACACACACACACACACACACTGGAATATTATTCAGCCATACAAAGAAGGAAATCTTGCCATTTGCAACATGAATAGACCTCGAAGGCATTTTGCTAAGTGAAATAAGTCAGACAGAGAAAGAAATACCACATGATCTCACTTACATGTGGAATCTTAAAAAAAAACAAAACCCAGCAACAAACCCTGACCTCATCAGATACGGAGAACAGGTGGGTGGTTGCCCAATGCCGGGGGCGGGGGGGGGGGCGGGGAGTAGGTGAAAGTGGTAATGTGTAGCACGGTGACTGTACTTAATGATGCTGTATATAATAAAAAAACAATTTTAGACTAGCTTTATATTTACAGAACATTTGCAAAGCTATGTAGAGTTACCATGAACCTCACAGGTGCCCCTAACTATTATTAACATCTGGCATTAGTCTGATACATTCCTTCCAATGAAGGAACCAATACTGACACGTTCTTATTGACTAAATAAGTCAACCATAGTTGACTAAGAGTTCCTGTATTTCCCCCTAACAGCCGTTTTCTGGCCCCGGATCCCACTGGACATCTAGCTGCCAAGTCTCCTAAGGGTTTTCTTGGCCATGAGAGTTTGTCCGACTCCCTTTGCTTTCAATGACCTGGGTGCTTTGAAGGAAGGCGGGCAGGTATTCTGCAAGATGTCTCTCTACGAGAATGTTCTGCGGCTTCTCTCAGGGGCAGGGGCAGGAGACCACAGAGGTGAAGCGCCTTTCTCAGCACCTCTCCAGGGTGGTCCCGGACGGGCCCTGTTGGGGTTGACCTTGGGAACCCGGTGCGGGTGTTTGTCAGGGGGCTTCCCTGCCGCTGCTCCCCCAGCACACACTGCACTTTCCACAGGGAAGTCGCCAGGCCCAGCCCACACCCAAGAGGGGAGAAAGTTCTGCCCCTGGTATCTCCTCCAACTTTGCCCAGTACCGCATCTGTCCCAGCGGTACAGCCCCGGCCACGCGGTTGTGGTCCTCCGCCTCCTGCTCCGGCCCCTGCTCCCCTGCTTGGAGCCCCCCTACCGCTCCGACACCGCCCCCCCCTCAGAGTATCTCTGGCCCATCCCACCACAGTAACTGCCTCCTGTCTCCTTTTCCCTCACCTCTCACCTCTCACTTCCACACCCACCCCCACCCAGGACGCCACCCTACTCCTGAGCCCCCAGGGAACTGTGCTACCCTGCCCCTCCTCCCCGCCTCCTCTACCGGGAGCCCTGCCCACCCACCCACGCCCAGAGCACTAAGACCCCTAAGCTCCGCCCCTGAGTGCCCCGCCCCTCCCCCTTCAGAGCTCCTCCTGCCCTGAGGCCCCCACCCTAATTCCATTCTTCACTCAGCACCCTTTGCCGAACTCCTTCACCCAATCCCCCAACCTGCACCCTCCCACTGCGCCCTTTACCCCACCCAACCTTTTCTGCCCCTCCCCGCATCCTGAACTTTCTACCTCCCCACTCACAGGAGGGGCCGCAAGAGCTCCTCGGCCTTGCACCCAACGCCCCATTCACACGGGAGGTTGCCTCCCCTGTCCCTGCTCGCCACGGGGACTCTGCCTGCGTGCCCTCCGCCGGTGCTCCTCGGCCGCCCACCCCCGGTGGCCTCCATCCTCCCACCCGACTTCTTTCCTGCTGGTTCCCGGGAGGCCCCGACCCCGGTTCCATGGCCGTCTATAGCCGTAGGACCCGGAGCCTGGATTTCCTGGACAGCGTGGACCTTCACCCCTCTGAGCAGCTGGGAGAGGGGCTGTGCCAGACACCCGGGGACCAGCCGCCCTGTGGACTCGGTGAGGCCCTTTCTCCTCCCTGTCCCCGGTGGGTCCGGGGGACGGATGCTGTGGGAGGCTGGAGCATGGAGGTGGCAGAGGGGCCCACAGCTGTGGGTGGGTGCAGACGGAGGCCGGAGGCTGGCTCTGCGGCAGGCCTCAGCTCCTGGAACCCCCGACCCCTGGGAGTCCCTGCCCGGGGCCCCCTTGCCTTCTCCTTTGTGGGAAGAAGACCGCCTGACCTTGGCCTCTGTTGAGGAGAGCCCTCTCGACACAAAGCCCCCTCAAAGCTGGCACTCGCTCCCCACCAGTCGTCCTGCGAGGGGGGCCTTCCTACTGGGTTGGGAGGGCTGGGTGTCGCCGAGGAAGTTGGGTGGAGGCTGGGCTGGGCAGTCATCTCCGACCCCTACGCCCGGGGCCAGGGGCTCAAAGGCAGAAGCTGAGGGGCCATTTTTCTCCCTCTGCCTGTGTGTCCCCCCTCTCCTGGGTGGTGTCCACGTGGCAGCTGCCCCGGTCCTGGACCCGGACGCCGAGTGCAGCAAGGACATCATCCTGGTGGGGTCCAGCGAGCCGTCGTCCTCCCCTGCACCAGGGCCCCAAAGAGGTGAGGCTCATCTGGGTGCTGGGCCCCTCGCTTGGGGTGCCGACCACAGGCCTGGGCAACCTCGAGGTTTCCAGGCCTCCGGAATGTTCGCACAGAACTCAGGTGCTCAGGAAAGGCTCCCCCCACCCGCAAGCTTGGATGTTTAACATTTCAGGACCGGGGGAGGGCGGGGGTGGCCGGGGCAGGACCTTCTGGCTCCTGTGACTTCGGAAGGTCAGCTGGTGGTACTCACTTCTTGCTGTTTAAATGACAGATGGACAGAGGCGTCCACGTCTTAACTTTCTTTTGCAGATCAGATTGCATATGAAGTCAGGGTTAACCAGCGAGCCATAGAAGGTAGGTGAGCCCCCCTGCCGGCCCCCAGGTAAAGGGCAATGGCAGAGAGCTCTGGAAAGGCCGGCCGGGCCCCCCACCCGGGGAAGGGGGGCAGCGGACGGAGCTGGGGGGCCGCTGCTCAACCCCTTCGCCGGCCAGGCCCCCGCGGCTTTCCTTAAGGCGGACGGTGCAGCATCTCTCAGTGCTTTCCACTGTCTCTGCAGTTTAATTTAGGACATTTCCGTCACCCCGCCCCCCAAATCCCACTCCCATGTCATTCCCCATCATTACCAGCCCCTCCCCGTGAACGCCGGGCCGCCACGAATCTACTTGTTTTTTCCATGGATTTGCCCGTTCTGGATTCCTTGCGTTTCCACGTGCACTTTAGGTCAGCTTATCAATTTCTGTACGCACACGTGCACACACTCACACACACACACACGCACGCACACACACACAGCGGCCCGCTGGGACTTTGAGAGGACTGCGAGGGCCAGCTCAAGGAGGCACATGGTCCTGACGGTATCCGGTGTCTGATCCGTGAGCACGGGACACTTTCCCACTCATTTAGATCTTTCGACAAGGGTGTGTGGTTCTCGCACTTCTACTGCTCAGTCTGCCTCCCAGTCTGTCGCTCTGTCTGATGGTGCCGTGACCCGCGTTGCCCTTTGGCTGTCCCCCCAGACGTGTGCCTCTGCTGCGGGAGCCTCCAGGTGCACACACAGCACCCCCTGTTCGCGGGAGGGATGTGCGCCCCGTGCAAGGTAAGCGGGGAGCTGAGGGGCGGCTCTGGGGGCGGGGTCTGGGGGGCCTCTGCAGGAGCAGAGGGGGCAGTGGCCCAGTCTGCCCCTCTCCAGAACAAGTTCCTGGACTGCCTCTTCCTGTATGACGACGACGGGTACCAGTCCTACTGCTCCATCTGCTGCTCCGGGGAGACTCTGCTCATCTGCGAAAACCCCGACTGCACCCGGTGAGGCGAGGGGCATCCCAGGGTAGGGGATGGGTGGGGGGAGGGGGAGGGCCCAAGAGCCTAGGAAATTTCCACCCTTCTCGGCCACTTACCCCATAGTGTGTGTGGGGGGGTCCCCCCTAAAAAGATGACTTTCTCCAAAGCTTTCTATTTTCATCTCAAATGTTTCATCTGGTGGAGAGGCTTGGCATGCAGAAGGTAGGATGTCAAAAGATTTGTGTTCCCAGTCTTTGCTTTTCATTATTGCATCACCGAGACGGAGCTGCTCCGCAAGCATTACACAGGGCAGTGCCGGAACCTTGCACCCTTGGGGCTGCGGGTCCCAGCCGGGGGACAGGGGAGGCAGCCAGGGGCACGTGCATCCCTCCTTACATGCCAGCGAGAACACCGTGCTCGGCCCCTCCCCTTCTGTCCTCCTGGGCCATCCTTGCATTTCCAGCTGCCCCCTCCACCATCTGCCCCCGACCCCAGTTTGTGCTGGAGCCCTTAACTATTTCCACAGGCTCTTGAGTTGGGGGAAGACCGGTGGCTTAGGGCGTTCTTTGAAATCTCTCAGTGCCCATAAACAGCTCGCTGTCTTGTGCAGATGGCTTGGTTCCTGTCCATCCAGGTCCCTAAGAGGGACTGGTCCTCCCCGCCGGTCCGCAGTCTCGCCTTCCCATAGCTCAGTCCAAAGAATGGGGCAGGCTCTCAGCCTGCAGAGGACCGTGGTTTTCTTCTTTCCTTCTTTCTTTCTTTCTTTCTTTCTTTCTTTCTTTCTTTCTTTCTTTCTTTCTTTCTTTCTTTCTTTCTTTCCTTCCTTCCTCCTTCCTTCCTTCCTTCCTTCCTTTCTTTCTTTCCTTCCTTCCTTCCTTCCTCCTTCCTTCCTTCCTTCCTTCCTTTCTTTCTTTCTTTCTTTCTTTCTTTCTTTTTCTTTCTTTCTTTTCTTCTTTCTTTCTGATTTTATTTATTTAGTTTTAGAAGGGAAGGTAGGGAGAAAGAGAGGGAGAGAAACATCCCTGTGTGCGAGAAACATCACCAGTTGCCTCTCACGTGCCCCCACCTGGGGACCCGGCCCACAACCCAGGCCTGTGCCCTGAACTGGGAATCAACCTGAACCAGGAACTAAACTGGGGACCTTCCGCTTTGCGGGACGATGCCGAACCCACTGAGCCACACGGGTCAGGACATCGACCCATACTTTCAGTTGGTGGCCAAAGCAACGTCATCTCGGTCACTGTGGGGTTTCTGTCTGACTTGAGGTGCTACTGTTTTGAGTGCGTGGACGTGCTGGTGGGCCCCGGGACCTCGGAGAAAGTCCACGCCACGAGCAACTGGGTGTGCTTCCTGTGCCTGCCCTCCTCCCGAGACGGGCTGCTGCAGCGCAGGAGGAAGTGGTGGGAGCGCCTGAAGGCCTTCTACGACCAGGAGGCGGTAAGCAGCCACGCGGAGGCTGGCCCAGCGCCCCGGTCCCGGGCTGTGAAGTGCCCACCCGCCCCTACACGGCGAAGTGCGGGGCTCTCCGGGGCACGTGCTTCTCTCCCTCTGACAGCCGGTGCCACCAGGCGGTCTGCTTTTTAGCCACTTTAGCGGGCAGTTTTGTTTGTTCTGAGCCTGGAATGAGGGGCTGGTAGCAGGTGGGAGAGGGGGTCCCCACATGTGTGCCCCTCAGCCCAGCAAGCAGGAACAAACTCCCGGGCAGCGAGCAAGACGCAAGCAGGCAGGGCCTCTGGGGGCCGAGGCCTGGAGCCAGGCACCAGGCAGGGGCTGTGGGCCCATCCCAGTGGGAAGAACGGTGTCCCCCAAACCCCTGGTACCTGTGAACGTGACCTGTTTGGGAAGCAGGGTCTTTGCAGAGGTCACTGGGTTCAGGGTCTTGGGGGGGGTCCTCCTGGATGCGGGAGGGCCTGCAGTGCAGTGACCGGTGTCATGGGAGAGAAAGGAGAGGAGGCTGGGGGACAGGCACAGAGGGAGGTTGGCCGTGTGGCGACGGGGGAGGACTGGAGCGGTGCCCCACAAGCCCAGGGCCCCAGGCTGCCGGCCGCCTCCAGCAGCTGGTCAGAGGCCTGGGACAGAGCCTCCTTCGGGCCCCTCCAGAGGGAGCCGGTCCTGCTGATATGTGACTTGAGACTTCTGGCCTCCCGAATAAATGTGTGGCCACACAGTCCGCTCCTGTTTGTCGTGGTTGCCCTGGGAAAATTAGACAGGAGGGCGAGAGTGCTTGGCGAGGGAGCAGTGGACAGCAGGGACCAGAACCAGCTGTGGGGACCCTCACACGGCATTGCTGGGGCCACTCACGGGCCCCACGGGCAGCCGTGCCGCCCCACAGCCTCCCCGACACAGGCTGGGAGCGTGTTCCTAACAACCTCTGTGGGTGTTTTCATGGTGCTTTTTGGAGAATAGGCAGGTGCACTTCTAGAACCTTCTTTTGGGGCCATTTAGTGGCAGAAACTGTCCATCTCAGTGTTTGCTTTGAAAGAAAGTGAGGTCGATATTCAGAAACATTGTTAACGCTTGAGCCCACAGCCAGGCGCAGAGGGACGCGGCTCAGCTCCCACAGCTGCGGTGGGAGACAAGGATGTGCACCCCCCAGTGTCGGGCAGAACCGTGCCTGGGCTGGATGGCCCCGCCCTTCCCCCCACTCCACCCCCTCAGGGCAGCCACCTGCTCGGCCCGGACTCACCTGCTCACTCCCTCAGGGCCTGCGCCTGGGCCTGGGCCTGGGCCTGGGCCGCCCCATCCGCTCGAGCCCGAGGCGGACCCTGCCCTGAGCGGCCGGGGTCCACAACCCCCCACCCCCCGCCCCACAGGCCTCACACACAGGCAGACACCCTCCCTGCTCAGGCCTGGTCTCCCACTGTGGGTAACTTGGGGCCTTGTTTTCAGGAGCCCTCCACCCCAGTGCCACCGCTTGGGGGCAGGGTGCTCTTGGGGGCTTGCTTTCCAAATGGATCAACGGTCTCTCCCCGGGTGCCTTGGGAGGGGAAGCCGGCATCATCTGGGCGCCTTTCCCTTCCTTCTTCCTCAGCTGGGCTTCTTCGTGGCTGAGCGCGGGGCGCAGGCTCTTGGCCTCAATCCTCGACCTGGGGTGGGCCCCTGCTGGGAGCTCTCGGGGAGCGAGGGGCTTGGGGCCTCACTCAGAGCTCACGCAAGGAGAGGAGTGGGGTGGATCCCGCTGCTGTGGGCATTCAGAATGTCTCCCGTTGAGACTCCCCCCAAGAAATGCAAAGGAAGTGTCCCCCCTGCTCCCAGGATGGAGCTGTCTTCCTGCACGCTCAGGAAAAGCCCCCCAACACAGCACCCGCCTCCCCTTTGCTAGAGAAGGCCTGGGGGAGGTCGGGGCGGGAGGCCTGGTCTGAGGGGGAAGCAGGGTCTTCATGTGGGTCTGGGGGTCACATGACCGGGGCGAGGCCAGCCGCCTCGGCAGGGGTGTCCCAAATGTGCCTCTGTCCACCGGGGCAGTGCCCCTGTGTCTGCTGGCCAGAGAGGAGGCTCCGTGTGACTCAGGGGCTCTGTAACCAAGTCATCCCAGAACGTCACCTTTTAACGTCACCTTTTTTTTTTAAATAAACAGGACAGCCCCCTCGAGATGCACGCAACTGTGCCGGCGTGGAAGAGAGAGCCGGTCCGGGTGCTGTCCCTTTTCGGGAAGATAGGGAACGGTGAGTATGCTGACATCCAGGGGACTCCCTGGAGGGTGCGCCCGCCCAAACCTGCGTGTGTGGGGGGTGTTTGGACCCCGGCCACTCGGGGCAGGGTCTGAGTGGCCGGGGTCCAAACTTGCCGTGCGTCGCACTTGCTAAGTATCTGGGGCAACTCCACGCATCTGGGGCTGAGGGTCAGTTTCGGGGGTCGGCAGAGAGGGCGCAGGAGCCATGGGGCTCCCTCCTTCAGAAGACGCGAGTTGGAAAGGAAATGCGGAGAGCGAGGCAGCGGGTGTGACGAGCCATTCGAGAGAGCCTGGCGGCCAGGCGCTCTGCCCAGGGCCACCACACACCCGGCCACCTGGCAGAGCCACCCAGCCCCTCCCAGGGACCCCAGCACCCTCACTCCTAGTGTGCCCAGCCGGGCCCGTGCTGCCTGCAGCCTCACCCAGGTGTCCTCCCTCGCCCTCTGGTGCCCTCGGAAACCCTGGAGTCTTCTGGGCCCGGCATGAGGAGAATCCTTGAAAATATCCCTTAGTCGCAGACCAAATAGAATCGGGGACCCAACCCATTTCTAGCCTGTGCCCCGTGCCCCGTGCGGTGGTCACAGCAGCCTGGGCAAGGGGCCCGAGACTCACACAGAGCGGGCCCAACCTACAGGTGGAGGGACCCAGGGGTCAGGTCAGGGCACGCGGCCTTTATCTCCCACCTGGGCCACATTCCTGAGTCCAATTTGCAAGGCCCTTTCTGGGCGCTTCCTATCCCCAGGCCCCAGCCTCCCTGAGGGCACAACGTGGCTCTGGCGGCCCACCTGTCATGTCACTCCGTCTGGTCCGGTGACCTCGGAGTGGACCCCACTGCCCGGCGGACTTCCCGCCCCGGGGCGTGACATAGCGGCCCCGGGAGGCTGGCCCCACGGCCAGCCTTCTGGCCCCCAAAGCAGCGCTCCGAGACATTTTGCCTGCGTGGCTTCCAGCGCAGCACACGCCTGCTCCCTCGGTCTCCTGTCCCATCACGGAAAAGACAGAGCGTGTTCCCTGACGACAGACGTGTTTTCTGGTCATTTGACTAAGCTGGGGCTCCGAATCGATCTGGTTTTTTTGTGTGTCCTTGCCTTTCCCCACCCAGAGCTGATGAGTTTGGGCTTTCTGGAAACGGTTTCCGGCTCGGGAAACCTGAGACATCTGAGTGATGTTACCGACGTCGTGAGGAGGAACGTAAGTGCACATTGTGTCCGTCCGGGTGCCCAGATGGAAACTGGTGGGTGGGACGGCCCGGGTGGGGGTGCTGTGGGGGCGGGGGGCATCCCGGCCAGGCCCGGCGTGGGGGTCTCACAGGAATCCGCACCCGCCCCCACGGTTGCTGGCGGTTCTCCCCTCGGGGGAGAGGCGAGAGGGGCACTTGCGAGGCCCCCACGCTGCGCACAGCCCAGAGCAGAGCGGCCAGCCCAGCCTCCTGTTCCATGTTGAAATCCAAGAGGCCAGCCCCTGACCTGTGACGGTGCCACCCCGAGAGAGGGTCAACCCTGCCCCTCCCTGTAAAGTAAACAGTGGCCGGCGGAAAACACCCTCTGGACACTCCGATGACGAAATGCTCCCTGGAAGGCCATTCTCTGCCGTCCTGCAGGGCGGCCCTGGAGGAAGTGCCTGAAAGTGACTCATCAGCACCCGGCCTGGCCTCGAGCCCCCCCATGGCAGGTGGAGAGATGGCGGGAAGCCTTCTCTTGGCCCCGGGGCAGGAAGACACTGGTCTCTCGTTTGCCCCAAGGCTGGGACACAGCCTCTCCCCATCCCACACAGAACCCTGAGTGTGCAGCGCTCTGTGGGGTGTTGAGGGGTGTGTCAGCCTCTCCCCAAATGATGGATGGTGGCTCTGAGAGCTCCCCAGGCCGATGGTGATTGACGGGGACACTGGTGGGTCTGGCTCCCTGGCTTCAGGGCCCGGAGCCTGCCGCCGGCACGGGCCGCCTGCCTGCGCACGGCGGGAGTGCCTCCCGTGTCCCCTGTCCTGCAGGTGGAAGAGTGGGGCCCGTTCGACCTCGTGTACGGCAGCACGCCCCGCCTCGGCCAGATCTGCAACCGTCCTCCCGGTGAGACAGCGCCCTCTGCCCCCGGCCCTCCCGTCCCTCCCTGCCATGGACCAGCAGCCTTCCTCCAAGAGGGCGGAAGTGGCAAATTGTCTGCCTTTTCATTTCTTTATGTATTTTTAGATGTTATTTATTTATCTTTAGAGGTGGGGAGAGAGGGAGAAAGAGGGGGAGAGAAACATCAAGTGGTTGCCTCTCGCATGCCCGCAGCTATTGACCTGGCCCGCAACCCAGGCATGTGTCCTGACTGGGAATCAAACTGGTGACCTTTCAGTTCCCAGACGGGCACTCAACCCACTGAGCCACACCAGCCAGGGCTGCATTTTTAAAAAACACCTTTGTTGAGGGATCACTAATATCCATAAGCCACCCACGTTCAGCAAGGACAAGGTGGTGTGTTCTGACACATGTCCCTGAGAAGCCGTGGCCAGAGCCAGAGCGTGAACTTACCCATCACTCACGGCCCCTGCGCCCTCTGAGCCCACCCTGCCCCGACACCTGCAAGCTCTGCCTCCCTGTAACCCGCTCTGCCCCTGAACTCTGGGGCACTGGGTGAGGCTGGGGCTGCACGGAGGGCGACAGGGAGCCCTGGGCCCTGAGGCTCAGCTGCTGCAGGGGAGGGGGGAAGCCGGCCACACGGGGCCTGGTCCTCCCGCAGTCTCCCCCGCACCAGAGCCCCTCACCCTGGTGGTCTCCCCAGGGTGGTTCGTGTACCAGTTCCACCGCATCCTGCAATACGCGAAGCCCCGGTTCTGCAGCCCGCGGCCCTTCTTCTGGATGTTCGTGGACAACCTGGTGCTGACCAAGGACGACTACACTGCAGCCACACGCTTCCTGGAGGTACGGACAGCGTGCAGCCCCAGGATGCCAGCTGGGCGGGCCTCCCCAGGAGCACGGGGGCTTTGTCGGGGGCGGCCGTTTAGGTTCTGATGCCTGAGGCCTCTGTTTGCAGAGTTCGCAGGGACCCGGAGGGCTGCCTGGTGCCACCAGGGCGTGGCCCCTTCACAGTGGCCTCGGATGGTGTCCCCTTCATCCACACTCAGGATACACTGTGACTGGGCTCTCCATCCGTGCCACACATACGCTTACACAGTACGAACATGACTGACACATGCCCCACATGCAGTCACAGGGACTCACATACCCCCCCACATACAGTCACTGGCACACACACACCACATACAAGCACAGGCACTCACACACACACCCCACATGCAGTCACAGGCACTGGCACACACACCCCACATGCAGTCACAGGCACTGGCACACACACCCCACATGCAGTCACAGGCACTGGCACACACACCCACATGCAGTCACAGGCACTCACACACCCCCCCACATGCAGTCACAGGGACTCACACACACACCCACATGTAGTCACAGGCACTCACACACACCCCCCACATGCAGTCACAGGGACTCACATACCCCCCCACATACAGTCACAGGCACTCACACACACCCCACATGCAGTCACAGGCACTGGCACACACACCCCACATGCAGTCACAGGAACTGGCACACACACCCCACATGCAAGCACAGGCACTCACACACACACCCTCTGGGGCACCAACAACCCGTTTTTTTCTCTCCGGGCATCTGAACCTGACCCTGGGAGCAGCCAGGACTCAGCGACAACCCTGTCCGGGGCTGACCCGAGTCCTGCCCAACACCACTCCCCAAACACAACAGTCCCTGTTTGAGCCCAGTGTCCACTCCTCACCGGACGCCTCCCCCACATTCAAACAGGCAGCAGTCTCCTTGCCAGCCTGACCCCATGCGTCCTTGTCCCCTCGTCTTCGGTTTCTCGGTCACCTCCAGGCTTCTTCACGCAAACACGGCAGGTCTGCCTGCCTGCACTGCCGCTCGGCCGCCGCCCGCATGCCTGCCCCCAACCCCCGACCCCCGTCCATCACAGGAGGCCCCCTGTTCCTCGCTGTGGTCTGTGTGCTTCGGTTCGTTTTGTTTTTTTCTCCCATTTGGCTTCCTGTGGACACGACACATGATGCGGCCTCCTCCTTGTTGACGGGCAGTCGGGCGGTTTCTGGCCCTCGGCTCTCACAACCGCCTCCCCGATGAAGGGGCACGCGTGGGGGTCTCTGTCATCTTCACGGGTGCGCCCCGTGGCCCCCGGAGGGTGGGCTCAGTCCCGGCTCGCGTCCCCACCGCTCCCACTTTCCTGGCCTCACCCCGAGTGTCACCAGCCCTCTCGTGCGCCTCGTGCTGCGTTGGTCCCGAGCGCCCCGTGGCGGCGGGCATCTTCCGTCTCAACGTCTCCCTGGTGTTGATTGGAACATCGGAAACCATTGACTCCTGCGCCTTCACTGTGCTTCTGCTGCCGCGTGGGGCGGCCTTAGGACCTACAGTCGTTTCAGGTGGATTCTATTAGGGCCTCCTCGGTGTCTGAGCAGATCACCGGCACCTCCAGACGGGTTTCCTTAGAGTTTTACCCCTCGGGGACCTTCCTCTCGTCTCTCTCTGTTGTCTCTGGGGTAACGCTGAGTCACGGGGGCAGGGGCGGGGGCGGGACGTGGCTGTCTCGTCCCTGACGTTCATGGCAGTGTATCCATGTTGCCTTACTGAGTCGGCGCTGGCTCTGAGTTGATAGCCTTCACTATGCTAAGGAAGTGTGCATTGCTTTCCGCTTTTTGAAAAAAAAATTATTTATTTTTAGAGAGATGGGAAGGGAGGAAGAAAGAGGGAGAGAAACATCGATGTACGGGAGATACACTGATTGGTTGCCTCTTGCCCACCCCCAACGGGGGACCTGGCCTGTAGCCCAGGCATGTGCCCGGACTGGGAATTGAACCGGTGACCATCCCGTTCACAGGAAGGTGGTCAATCCACGAAGCCACATCAGCCACAGCTGGTTTCTACTTTTTGAGTAATTTTATCAATAATAACTCCTGGATTCTGTCAGATGTTCTTTTTTAAAAAAGATTTTATATATTTATTTTTAGAGAGAGAGGAAGGAAGGGAGAAAGAGAGGGAGAGAAACATCAGTGTGTATTTGCCTCTTGCACGCCCCCTACTGGGGAGCTGGCCCTGCCTCCCAGGCATGTGTCCTGACTGGGAATCGAACTGGGTGACTCTTTGGTTTGGCCTGCAGCCGGCACTCAATCCACAGAGCCACACCAGCCAGGGCTCAGATGTTCTTTTTAATGTTTGTGGAAATAATGAGATAATTTTCCTCTGTTGAGCTATGAATAAGATGTACTAACAGACTTCCAATAACAAACTATTTTTGGAATAGGGGCGCACTCAGTGGCTGTTTGGCTGTGGCCAGCGCAGAGAGCTCAACATGCGTTTTTTTGTGTGTGTGTGCCATTTTCGTTGGGTCTGGCTGTCAATGTTAAGCTTGAGTCATACAAGCATCTAAACCTGACGGATTTCTCCTGTGAAACGGTCTGGGTGGGTGGCTGCTGCCCTTGTTTTAAAGCGGGAGTTGGCTCTTCTGCAGAAACAGAAACCTGTAAGGATTTCTTACTTTTCTGGAGATCACCTTGGTAAGTTATGTTTTCCTAGAATGTAATTCCTTTCACGACGGTCTAAAAAAGGGTTTTCCCAGAGCCGGGCACAGCAGCCCCACGGTCCTGGGACTGCTGTCTGCGCCTGGGCTTCTCCGTCCTGGTTGAGGCTGTCCTGGGGCCGGGCACACCGCAGGCCACCCTGTAGCAGCCACCGGGGCCGGGGCTGCTGACTAAAAACTATGAGTAAGTAATCACGGGTCCGGCCAACGAGAGCAGTTTCCAACCGGGGTGCCACTTGGAGCAAAACCCTGACTTTCATTGTTCTTTGCACCTATTGGGTCCATCCAAATTGGTCCCAAATTAGGAGTGCAGGCAAAAAGGGACCTTCCAGTATTTTCTGTGACTGCTCCCACCTTGCTGCGGAGCCTCGTTCCTGCCCACGGGTGGGCGGGAACACCTGGTCGTGCCAGATGCAGGGACGGCCCCTGTTGGCCCTGGTGACTGAGGGCGAAGCCAGCTCTCACCCCCGCCCCCCCCGCCCCTCCCCCCACCCCGTGGTGCCTAAACACAGGAAGAGGCTATGTGCCCCAGGGCAGTGGGGCTCGGGGGGCGGTGCCCAGGGGCCCCCCTGGCAGCCCTGGAGCCTGGGGAGGTAGAGTCAAGACTACCTTTCATGGTGTCAGGGATGGAGGCGGCTTCGTGCCTCAGTTTCTCCTCTGTGCCCCTCTCCCTTCGGAGGCTGCCCCTCCCAGTGGCAGAAGGTCTGTCCCGCCTCCCGCTCTCTCTTCTCTGGTCCTGGTGACTTTCAGGGAGCTGGTGAGCCCAGGACCAGGCGCCCACGTGCTCCTCACAACACCCTCCTCTCTGACAGCATGGATCTCACATCCCCCAGACGCAAAGACCACAGTCCTCTTTCAGTTCTTTTTTTTTTAAGATTTATTTATTCATTTCTAGAGAGAGGGGAAAGTAGAGAGACAGAGAGGGAGAGAAACATCAGTATGTGAGAGAAACATCCATCGGTTGCCTCTTGCATGGCCCCCAGCCGGGGACCTGGCCCGCAACCCAGGCATGTGCCCTGACCGGGAATCGAACCAGCGACCTTTCAGTTCACAGGCTGGAGCTCAACCCGCTGGGCTGCGCCAGCCAGGGCTCAAGACCACAGTCTTTATCTGCAGGGGAGTCCACCCAGCGCCCGAGCAGGCGGGGAGTCCCTGTGCTACCCAACCCGTGGGAACAAAAAATCAACGGTTAAAAGTTTAAAAATAACGTCTCGACATTTTTTCCTCAAATGATTTCTTTTCAATGGGAAGAAGTGTGGACTGGGGGACGCAGTCAGCCTGGGAAGGCTGCTGGCTGTATCCGGAGGGGCACACATGCTTCCCATGGTGGCTGAGGCCCATCCATGGGCACCGCAAGGGACAGAGGTCTTGTCCAGGTCACCCTGACCTGCAGCCGGGTTTCCGCCCGCAGACCGACCCGGTGACCATCCAGGAGTTCTGCGGCAGGACCGTCCGGAACGCCGTACGCGTGTGGAGCAACATCCCGGCCTTGCGCAGGTACTCCCCGTGTGCGCAAGTGCTTCGGGGCGGAGGCGGGACCCTGGCCGTCGAGGAAACAGAGTCTGAGGAGACAGGGGGCCGGGCTGTGCCCGGCTGGCAGCCTCTGCCCAGGTCGGGGGCTGTGCTGGTGGGCCTTCCAGGTGCTCTGCACTGTTCTGGGCATGCTCGAGGTCGGGGACGCCCGTCCCTGTTCCCGTGGGGCGCCTCGTCCCAGCTGCTGCATCAGTGCTTGTGAGGTTGTCACCCTAGGACTTCGCGGGGCTTCCCTGAGTCCAGAGAAGAGAGGCCAGACCCCCAGCTATTTGCTGCACAGCCACACGCGCCCTGGGGCCAGTACCCCTCCCCAGCCTTGTGGAGCACAGCCTGCCTACACACACCCAGACCCTCACACCTGCTCACAACCACTGACCCATGCACTCACACCCACACACACTCTCCCACGACGCACTCCGGCTGTACGAAACTCTCCCACCGAACCCCAGGCCTTGGCCCTCACGCGCACCCGCCTCGGCTGCCAAATGTTCTCCTGACTGTTCCTGCCCGGGAATGCTGGCTCCGCTCCTCCCCTCCCCCACACACAGCCCCTGCCCCCGGCGTGGCTGGCTCTGCTCCTCCGGCAGCCTTTCTGGCCAGGACACCAGCCCTGCCTCTGTCTCACCGAGCACTGTGCCCGCTGCCCTGGAGGGGGACCGCCCGCTCTCCTGCCGCACCCCCGCCCCGCACAGCCCCCTCCCCCCGGGAACCGAGCCGATGCATCTTCAGGGCCAGCTGGGTCCTGTCTTCTCCCCACAGCGGCTTCCGGAGCCTCTCCTTCCCACCCCGGTCCCAGCGTCTCCCCACACCAGGGCCACACCCAGGGTTTGTTTTAGGCACAGATAAAGGGAGTCAGACAGCCTTCTGGAATGTTTCCTCCGAAGCTGGATGGCCATTCTGTGGTCAGCCGCTTACGTGTGCCATGCTCCCCTGGCCCGCCCGCTGGCTTGCTCCCTCCCCCACGTGGTTCCCAGAAATAAGCTGGAAGCTGCTTCTTTGAAAGGCGTTTCCCTTCGGGTTCCTGCTGTCTTCACAGTGAGGAGAGGGACCCGCTGAGGGGTCATCACCCCCTGAGATGATGGGCAGCTGCCTCGGCACAGCCACGGTCACCCTCTGCCGCTGGTCAGGCTGCCTGGGGCGGTGGGCGGGGCTGGAGAGAGCACCGGGAGGGGCCCCGTGTGTTTCTGGCACCTCGTCCCTGTTCCCTGGCTGCGGTGGGTGCCTGGGGGCACGAGACCAAAGTCCTGGGTGCCAAGTCCATGAAGTCTCGGGTCCCACGGGTGGCATCAAACTGCAAGTTGGGGGTCCCCCATCCTCCCCACCCACCTGCCCCACATGCAGGGTCTGCAGCACAGGCTGCCACAGGACCCCCGGGGACATGCCCAGACCTCTCCGTCTGGGGTCAATCAGAATTCCTGGGGGACGACATTCAGTTCGGCCTGGCCAACCTTTGCCCTGAACCCTGCCCCTCCTGCTCGGTGGGGCCTCTCCAGGGTGGCTCCTCCTCATGGAAAGGGGGACCCACATAGCTGGGCCAAGGTCTGTCCTTGGGGACCCTCAGCCCTCCCCTGCTGTGCCTACGTCTCACAGGACCAGCGCCTCCCGGGGGAGACAGGAGGTGTGGGGGCCATCTCATCCCCTACTGCCCAGGACACGCAAGGCGGACATGGTGTTTCTCTGAGAGACCTCCAAATACTCCGGAGAGAGTGGCACCCGCCAGCCTTGGCCACACCCCCCGCCCTTGCATCCTCCCTGGTCCGGGGAGGGCGGGGTTCTCCGTGGGTGATGATGAGCTTCCTCTCTTCCGCAGCCGGCATTCGGCCCTGCTTCCCCAAGACGAGGCGTCCCTGCGGGCTCCAGACAGGCAGAGAGCAAGGTCCTCCGTCCTGGGGCCTGCCGGACTGGTGAAGAACTGTTTTCTGCCCCTGAAAGAATATTTCAAGTTTTTTTCAACAGAACTCACTTCCTCTTTGTAAATGATTCATTAGGCTGTGGCGAGAAAAAAAAAAAAAAGGATTTTTCTTAGAACAGATATCTTTCCTGATATTGTCTCATTTTTTCCTCTTCGAATTGTTATTTGATTTGCTTGACTCTGGATGTGCCGCGGCTGTGTCTCTGGAGATGCAGCCCCCCCTCCAGCCCCCTGCACGCCCACTGGAGAGAGGGGGCAGAGCTTCTGGCATCTCACCAGGGACAACACAGGGACAACATCCTGAAGGTCAGGCGGCCACCGGTGTGCCGCTCGAGCAGTTAACAATGCATTCATCATGCGAGTTCCTGGTCATTCTCGGCGTGTTGATGCATAAGCCCAGCCTCCCTTTCATCCTGCAGGGCGCGGGGGTGTGGGGGAGGGCCACGAGCAGGACCCACTTCCTAAGCGCCCCCCCCAACACGTTCCACAGCGCGCAGGGTGGCGCTGCCGCGTGACGGCCATTCCCCGGGAGGGTGAAAACCATGAGCTCTGATGAAGGCCGCACAGAACGTCACACGTCACGGACCTCTGCAAAGGCCAGAATTTCGAGCGTGGCGAGCAGGGGGAGAAGGGCCCGAGTGCGCAGCCCAGAGGCGGAGGAGGCCAAGTGCACCTGTGAAGTGCGTAGCCGTCCCTGGGCACGCTGGGCCCCAGGGAGGGCGAGCCCTGGAGAGCACGGACTCCGGCTGGATTCCAACCACAGGCAGCAAGTCCTAAAGAGACCTTCCCAGATTAGGCGGAAGCCCCCCGACGGAACCTAGGCTGAGGTCACTCAACGCTCGGCTTGTCCTGTGCACGATGGCCAGGGCTTGGAGCCCCTTGGGACCAGCACTGGGGCTGGTGAGTGGGATGTAAGGTGCTCTGTGGAGGAAAGGTTCCACTAAAATTGGGTCTTTTGACAGTTTTGAAAAACATGTCTTGCCCTGACTGGCATGGCTCGGTGGGTTAGGCATCACCCCGCAAACCGGTTCAGTTCCTGGTCGGGGCTCCCGTCTGGGTTGCGGGCGGGGGTCCCCAGCCTGTGCATGCATGTGTGTGCAAGGCCACTGACCGGTGTTTCTCTCCCTCTCGTCCTCCCTCCCCTCCCCTCTCTCTGAAAATAAATAAGGTCTTTAAATAGACGTTTAAGTAGATAAGAAGTTTCACGGTTAATTTTTGCGTTAGGGTGGCTGGGCCAGCGTGCCCAGGCATCTGTTCAAGCACTACCTGGGGGAGTTTCTGTGAAGGTGTTTTTTGGATGAGATTCACGTTCGAATTGGTGAGCTTTGGGTAGGGTAGACTACTCTCCAGAAGGTAGGTGGGTGCCACGGTCTGAATGTCTGTGTTCCCTGCCCCACCCTCAAAAACTCCTATGATGAAATCCTAACCCCCAAGGTGTAGTAGGTGTTAGGAGAGGTGGGGCCTTGGGAGGTGACTCCAAAATGCGGTTACTGCCCGAATCAAAGAGGCGCCAATGAGCCTCCCGCGCCTTTCCCCCAGCGAGGAGCCGTGCATGCGTGTAGCCAGGAAGCGGGCTCCCGCCGACGGTGCCGCGACCCTGACCTCCCACGTCCAGCACCCAGAGCTGAGCGAGAGACAGTGCTGTCGTTCACGAGCCGCCCCGTGTGCGTGTGCGGTGTTCCGTCACAGCAGCCTGGAGGGACCGAGGCAGCGAAGGCCGGCTCCTCAGGAGGAGTTCTCCGGCATAGCACCCGTGGGGGGCTCCAGCCGCATCTCTGCCCCGGGTCTCCGGCCACTGGCCCTGCGGATGTGGGTTTCTCGAGTCTCCAAAACCATATGAGCTACTTCCTTGACATAAATTTTCTCCTTCTTTTTCTCTCTTTCTTTACACATGCACCCACACACCCCTCCTGCTGGTCTTGTTTCTGCAGAGAGCCCTGATACAGAGACCTTCACTGAGTGCCAACCTTCTCTCGCAGGTGGGCGGAGGGCGGCCCTGGGCTCTGACGCAGGTCCGATGCCCAGGTGCTGATCCAGCAAGACCTGTAATGAGACCCAGGGCACAGCAGCCCCGGAAACACAGAGGGGGTGCAGGGACAGCAGCATGCACAGATAAGCGCAGATAAGACCGGCCTCCCCGGTGGGGGGGGTGGCAGGCTCTGGATCCACGCTGGCTGCAAAGACGTGCACTTGTTCCAGCAATGGGCGGGACAGGGCGTGGTGGGCCCTGCCCTGGAGGAGGCTGGAGCGCTGACTGCAGGCTGCTTCCACCCCAGGCAACTGGCAGCACGGACCGGCCTCAGTAGTGAGCACTTCCCACCAGTCTGCCCCCCAGCAGCCTCACACGTTCGGTTCCCTCCCAGGGAGCTAAAGTTCCTCCCCCTAAGTATCTAATCCCATTCACAGGGCCCCTCTCTCTGCCTCCCCCCAATAAAAGATGTCCTTGTCCTAAGTCCTGGGAATCATGAAGGTCACTTGATGTGGCGAAGAAGAACCTGGCTGATGTGAGGGCGTCAAGATGGGGAGAGTGTCCTGGACTACCCACGTGCACCCTAAATGTGACCACCAGGGTCCTTTCGGGGGCAGAGGGAGACGACCCCCTACACAGAGTCTCGAAGGAGGAGCACCGAGTTCAGACTCCAGCCCCCTGAGATCTGACAGAACGTGTTGCTGTTGCTTTAAGCCACCAAGCTCGCGGTCACGACTTCTGGCACCCACAGGCACCCTCAGCGAGGAGATGAGCTTGCTGGGACCAGGGATCAGTCAAGCTGCCAGCGTCGACTGACACCTGTGATGTCATCGGCCCCTGGTTGTGAGGACCCCAAGGGAGCTGCCTCGGGGGCAGCTGAGGGGGACCCTGGGTCTCCAGCGTCGAGGTGCCGCTTCTCGCCTCCACGTCTGCACCCGGAACTTGAAGTCCCCGGCAGGAACACGTGTGCTCCTGGGTCCCCAGGTCGGCCTAGATAGCCCTCCGGGGGTTCTCTCTCCACCCACCCACCCACCCCCACTGTGGTCTGCTTTTTCCATTTGTCTTAAAACTCTTCGTGTTTGTAACCCACGCATTAACTCGGCTGCTCTACGAGGGACCCCTCATGGGGTCCCCACTTCCCAGAAGGGAAAATGCAGGCACACAGGGAGGGGTCAGGCAGCTTGCCCGGGGTCACACAGCTCCTGGGTTGCAGAGCCGGGGTTGGACACCAGCATGCACTTCTCAGGCTGCGGTTTCTGGGGGTGCTCTTGGTCCCGCTCCTGGGGGTGCCCCTCCCTCCCTGGTCCCAGTCCTCCAGGATGTCCCCATGGCCCTGGTCCACCTCCATGTCCCCTTCCAGCCCAGCTGCACTCCCTGTCACTCCACAGCCTGCTCAGCAAACAGTAAGTTTCCTCCCAGAGTCCCCGCTCTTGGGTGACCCTGGCGGCGACAGTACTTGGCCTTCTGGGCCTAGGACCAGGGAGACTGCCCAGGAGGCAGACCTTGGTCCTCCCTCACTCGCCCGCAGCTCCTGCCGGCTCTGCCCTGCCAGGCCCGTTGAGCCCTCCCTCCTCCCCCCTCCCTCCCCCCTGCCGTGGGGCAGTGCCCCGGCTGCACTGAAAGGCGCTGTCCCTCCCTAGCTCCGCAAGGGGGGTTCCTGTTGCCCCCCCCACACGTTCCCCTCCCACAGCCACTGAGACTGCATGTGGGGTCCACCCCTCCCCACTGGGCACCCCCAAGGGCAGAGTAGGAATTTCCATGGGAGCGGGGGAGTTGACATGTCAGCCAATCACTGCAGCATGTCCAATCGCAAGAATCCCGGGGTTTGAGGGTTGGGCTGGACGCCGCCAGGTAGGAGAGGTGGGGCGCGCCCAGCCCAGCCCTCCAGCCTCCCCTGCTGCTGATCTTGAGGCTGGCCCTCCCCAAACTCTGTTTTCCTCTGCCGGCTGCTGCCAGCCCAAGGGGAGAAGAAACAATTCATGGGGAACCAAGGCCACCGGAATCATGTCCCCTCCAGACCTCTGGGTCTGATAACGTGCCCCGCCCAGTTTACCCGGCTACATTTCCTCAAGCCGTGGCACTGGACGGAACTGGTTTTCTGGCTTCAGAAATGGGGTGAGTGCTGAGAAACCCCTCCCCCACCGACCTGATTGAGGCCCACACCCTGCTCTCCCGACCAAATCTCAAAATCTTGAGTTTCCTTCCAGAACTCATCTCCTGGTCTCCTCCACCACGACTTCCCCCACCTCCCCTCTCTCTCTCCCCCACCTGCCCCACCCCAGAACCAGTTCAGGTTGTCCATGCCCCCGCTACCCCGCACTGGACCCACAAAAGAAGGTCTGCCCTGTTCTCCAAGGCTAAAAGAGGGTGGCCCTCCGCTTGGTCTCCTTAAATCCCCCACACCAATCTCCCGGCCTGGCCTGGAGGGGCGGAGCCCTGGGGTTGAGAGCCAGCCCTCGCACCTCAGCCCCTCCTTTTCTGTCACACGGCCCCCTCCCCCAGCCCATCCCTTCCGTTCCCCCATTTCTGCTCTGGTCCCCACAGGAATGGTAACTTCCACAAGGCAGAGCTTCCGCCTTTTTAAAAGCTTTTCTGCTCAGGCTCACGGAGGACCTGGGGTCACGCACTGTATGTCTGTGCAGAAGGCGGCTGGGGTGCGGGGATCCTCCCGGCTTGGCTCCGCCCTCGCCTTACACCTGGCCTCTCCCGAATCCCCGTAGGCCGGCCTCGGCCTCTGAATCAGCCCGGGTGTTCGGACACACCCCTCCTGCCAGCTCCTCTGGGACCGGTCCTCCGGACCTGAGCTGGGTGTCTGGGAACCCAGGCCCTTCCTGGCATCCTCCTCGGGTGGCGGGGGGGGGGGGCGCCCTATTCCCTCGTGGCCCCACCTCGCGGGGCCAAGCGGAGAAGAGAGCGGGGAGCGGGGAGCGCTGGCCGGGGTGGGGGAAGGGAGCAAACGGCGCATTGAATTGCGCCCCGCCGCCCTGCGTGGCTCTTCCCAGACCAGAAAACTTGAGCGCCAGGTCTGGCCCACTTGGAGGAGCAAAGATGGAGTGGTTTCCACGCAGCGGGCTTCCCAGAGCCTTCACTAAGAAAACGTGCTGCGGCCCGTGGCCCAGGACCCAGACGGAATCGGAGAGCAGCGCTGGGGGGCGGAGGGGCAAACCTAGGGCTGGCAGTGCCTGCCTGCCGGCCTTGCCTCCTCCCCTCATTCATTCGCTTGCTCCTGAATGGATGCGGCCCTCTCACTCCACCTAAGAGCTGGAGG